TTTTTTTAACGCCAAACCCAGACACCCCGAATCCCACCCCCTGAAACCCCCGAAAAACCAAGAAGCCTTAAACCTGAAGATGAGGGTTTGCGGTTTCAGTTTCAGAATTTAAGGTTTAGGGGTTTAAGTTTCAGGATTTAAGGTATAGGGGTTTAGGGGTTCAGGGCTTAGGGGTTTAGGGTAGAGTTTGGGAGGTTTCGGGTTTAGGGGTTTAGGGTTTAGGGTAGGGTCTTGGGGGGTTTCGGGTTGAGGGGTTTAGGGTAGAGTTTTAGAACCCAAAGGGTCCAAGTACCATTATAGTAGGTATTTTGGCCCACAAAGTATATACCCTACCATTACTTGCACCCTTTGGGGAAGGTTTCGGGTTGAGGATGAGTCCGGTCCACTCTGCCGCTCCTTCCGCTGCTCCGAGCGGCGCAGGCGCCGGCCTCCGACGTCGACCTTGCTCGGCTTCCATAATTGTAGAGAGAGAGAGAGAGAGAGCGAGAGACATATATATATATATATATGTATATATATATATATATATGTATATGATCACAGAAAATTCTGTAATTATACGTTTTATAGGTAGATAGATAGAAGGATAGATAATAGTTTACAGTGCTTTGACCGGGTTCTTGATGGGTTTTGGCTCAGATCGCGGCAGCTGTTTGCAGGTATGCGTCTTCGTCCTTTTCGTGCTTCTCTGTATCTATAGGTTCTTTCGGCCCATATATACGGGGTCCTTAAAGCTTAGACTAGGTTCCTTCTGGTGCTAAGCTGGCTTCGGCACTTGTCGGTCTATGTGGGGATTTGGGAGTTTTTTACACCTTGGCAGCTTCTGGGTTCAAGAACTTGGGGCTTCGGGTTTAGGGTTTAGGGTTTAGGGTTTAGGGTTTAGGCTTTAGGCTTTAGGCTTTAGGCTTTAGGCTTTAGGGTTTAGGGTTTAGGGTTTAGGGCTACCATGCCGGGAAGCGGCCCTTCAGCACCCACTGGAACAATCTCCCTCGCTCGTTCTCTGATACTTATTGTGCATCTCTCTCGCCCCAGCTCCCGTGAAGTAGCTCCACGAAGACCCTCTTGTGGACAAGGGGGTTATTCAGGGGTGGTGTCTGTTCCGTGTACCTTCAGGAGCGGATCTGGACTCTGACTCTGCATATTGCCATCATGTTAAGGTCCGATACATGTTCCTGTGTCATTCCATACTCGATGGACACACAAAGCAATTTGAGGCCCCGGCATCGGGCAGGACCTTGAAAGCGTTCAGGGCCCGTTCCTTAGCGATGACGACGGTGACTTGGTTCTCAACCAATGGCCGGGTGAGGTCCTGACACATTCGACAAGGTCTCCAACCCACATTTGAACCAACAAACCTGTAGCCGTGTAGCCCAAAGAGTCTCTAAGACATGGTGCCAACGACGCCGGTACACCTCCCAGAAGTACTGGGGGCAAAGGATCGTAATGTAATGTACGGTCACGTAATTTAATATTAGGTATTGTGATGTAACGCCAAGTAATGCGATGAAACGTTATTTAAACGTAATGCATGGAATGTCACGAATGTACCTATCTATTATACATGCATGTTTTCACATATGTACACGTGGTTGTTTCTTTGTTTTGTGTTGTTGTTGTTGTCGTCGTTGTTGTTGTTGTTGTTGTTGTTGTCGATTGTTTGCTTGCGTGCTTGCTGGCTTGTCCGCGAAACAAGGTTTGCATGTATCTTTGTATGCATGCATGCATGCATGTTTGCATATTTCATCATGTACTCCATTCGAACCTTGGCTCGTCGAAGCTTGAGCAACACTGAGCCTCCGGGCGAAGTCTGCCCGAGTGGCTTGATGCGCCTGGAACTGTCCGGGCCTCGGTCAAGTTTGTTTATCGGTTCTGCTTTAACGGCTTAGGGTTTTTTTTTTTTTTAAAGTGCACTGGCGTGGTCTGAAGCACAGAGTAACGCCCGCCTCACCTACGGCTTAGGGTTTAGGGTTTTTAGTGGGTCTCCCGAGTTTAAATAAGAGCGGAACCTGAACCCAAAACAGAATCGGCCTTAAGCACTACACCTTATTCCGTGAACCTACACCTGCGAATCCCAGAGCCCAAAACCCCAAATTTCATCGATCTCGAACTCACTCATCCAGAAACGCAAAGAAACCGTGTCTCCGCAGAAAGCCTGAATCCTAGACTCCACATTCCCTAAACCCACAACTCCAGAACCCCGAACCCTCAATTCCTAAAGCCAAAAACCCTTGGTAGCCGACTTCGGAGCTCGCTTCTGCCTTCGTGCCTGATCCGGGGGTCTGTTTGTGAAGGGGGGTGTTTGAGGGGGTTAGGGTTTGGGTTTGGGCTTTAGGGCTTTGGTGGCCTAGGCTGGGCTCAGGGTGTCAGCAACACATCCAATGGTGGGAACCAGAACGAAGCTGTTCCACCCCACTTTTCTTAGCCTGTCAGCCCTCCTGCATGTCCTACATCGAAGGACTCTGCATATGGGAGTTTCCCAAAATAGGGGACCCTAATATGGTACCCGAAATAGTAGGATCCTTATTATAAGGACCCCAAAATAAGGTACCCTCTATTTTCGGAAACTCCCATATGATCATTTCCTAGGGCCTCACGATCCCCAAGCCCTAAAACACCCCAGATCCCTCAACTTAAAAGCCCCGAAACCTGAGAAAAGCTCGAACGGCCCGGGAATCAACAAACCTAGCGCGACCCTAGCTGAGAACATGTCGCCAAAATTGGACGCCAACCTCCAAACCCTTAATCAGACCCCAAACCCACAGCAGAAGCCCTTACATTCTAGAGTTCGCTGTCTCAGATGGGTGGTTGTCCAAATTATGGTCCCTTTTGGGGTCCTTATTATAATACGGCACCTAATATTTAGGGTACCCAACAAGGGACCCTAATTTTGACAACCACCCACATGAGTTCAAGATTGACAAGCCTCTGCATCGGCTGTGGCCGCCGGGGCGTCTCGGCGTGCTTGGCTGAAGCTCATGAGCGGTGGGGCGGTATCCTGGGCTCTTTGGGCGCTGGGAAGGAATGAGGGTTCAGGGTTTGAGGGTTTAGGGTTTATAAGGTTTTTTAGCGGTTTAGGGTTCAGGTTAAAATGTCATAGGCCCGAGGAAGCCGAAGATTCATGATCATGCTACACCGATCTGCGACTAGCAACGACACTGCTGCATCGATCGGTTGACAAGCGCGGGCTGCTGCCGGAATTAGGTGTGGGCTTATTCTGTCTCAGCTTATACAATATAATGTGATATGGTATTATAATACAATGCAGCATGATATGATATAAGATAAGGATATAGTATGACATTTTGTGATATGATCTGGTGATATGCGATATACTATGATACGACATGCCGTAACAAGAACATGATATATCCGAATGTAATATACCGTACGTTATCTTAGATAGGACAAAGGATACTAAAATTTGGTACCAGAAAGTATCTTATCACACACCAGGTTACAGTACACTATGATGTAATGCCAACGAGCACAATATATTACAATGTAATAAAATATAGCATGTTATTATGATATGAAACTATACAGTCTGATAAAATACTATACTAAACACCAAAATGCAGTATGATATAATCTAGTATAGCACAACATCGTACTATACGAATTAACACCATGTGATAAACTGGAAGAAGTTTATCTCAAACAAAGCCCTACAACACATTATTACAGAATGTGATGAACTGTGGCATGATATAACATAAAACGGAACATCGGTAAGAACGCCATAGCATTCGAAAATATCTTACCCAATATTGCAATATATTCAAGTCTCAACATTACATTTTGTTACATTGTTTCCTAGTCTTCTATAGTTTGCTGTAGTGCTTCATGGTATATTGTTTTATGCTGTGTTTTGTAAAGTGCATCATTATGTTGTTCTGACCTGTATTATGCCGCATTATTATCTTATACTACAGTAAAGTATATGGTGCTCTTCAATGTTTCACCACATTATGATAGATTGTGTTTTTGTGATGCTCTAGTATATTATGTCCTTACGTACTTTTCCATGTGGTATTGTGTCATAATGCGGATGGGTGGTTGTCAAAACTTGGGTTCTTTTTGGGTACCCTCAGGTGCAGTACTATAATGAGGACCCGAAAAGGGACTCTAACTTTGACAACCACCCATATATTCACTTATGTATCCCGTAAGACTGCCGAGGAACCTCCGACTGTCCTCTTCTCCGCAGGAAGGGCTGCGTAAAGATCTGCTACGACCCAGCCAGGAGTGCAAGATTTGGTCCGAAAAGCCAGGGAAAGGTTTAAGGTGTAGGGTTTATAGGGCTTTAGGGTTTAGGGGTCCGGGAAAGAATGCATCGACTTAAAGCCCTGGCAAAACCCCTAAACCCCTTAACCCCTACACCCCGAACCGTCTTCGGGTTCTGAACTCAGCAGAAGAGGAGACGTTCGATAGATTGGGGTGGTTTAGGGTTTACGGACAACCTCTAGGAACAAGCCTCAACTAAGCTCCAAGCCCTAAACTCCAAAAACCTAACGCAACCAGCTCGCATCTCAGGTTTGTATCACTCCGTTTACACGGTTCCTGCTAACTTTATTCGACAATAACCGCTACAATAACCATAATTCCGACACAAACATAGCATAACGCTGCATAGCCGCAGGTCGATATGTTTCATTGTTCACAACAGTTGTAATTAGCAACTAGCATAAATGCTGCACGGGGAAAAGCTGCTACTAAAGGAGTCACCCGTCGACCCGGCTCGAAGATCAGAGCTCATTGAGTGGGGGAAACGCTGTAATGAACTTGCAGGCACTACAACAGTCGAAGCGGATGCGTTCAGTTCATACCCCTGCCCAGCACTCGAATTCCTCTTCTCTTTTGACGCCGCCACACGCGCGCTGCGGTTCAGACGGCGACGAGGGGACAGATATCGGGACTTAGGGCTGCTCTCTAGATGTTCTTGTCCAATCGCTGTCCTTGCTGCAGCTGACAGCATCGAGCTGCAAGGAAAGCTCCGGACTTCAAGGAATGATTGAGGGAGGAGCAAGACCTGTCTCTAGCGTTCTCTTCGTCCGGTAGTGGCTCTGCGCCTGCAGCTCGGGCAAAGGTGGCTTCAGGTGTGTGCAGAGATCAGGTTGCAGTGGCAAATGAAACGAAACAACGGCTGTCTTTATGTGTCGTACGTCCGTTCACCCATCCCTCCAGCCATACATGCGTCCGTCCATCTATGCGTCCTTGCATCAGTGTGTACCTACCTACCGACCCACCCACCCACCGACCTAGCTAATTTCAGCTAGATACATGCACTCAAACATGCATACGTGCTTCCATACATTCATACATCAACCCATCAGAGGATCGAGTAAGACTGAGACCCCCGCCGGTGCCGCGTGTCCGTCCACTCGACTTGGCGGTTTTGCATATAGGTTGTTTACGGTTTTGTATGCATGGTTCGTAGGGCAATTTTAATTTTTGGGAGTTGTACGGCTTTCCAGGAGGGGATTTTGGGCCTACGGATTCAAGACCGAGGGATGCGCAATTTCATGGGGACTTTGTTTTTTCACTGGAGCCCCCTGAACATGCATCTAGACTTAGGGTTTAGTCTTTAATGTCTGTAAGATTACAATTAAAGGTGCGACCGCGAGCATTGGGAAAGCCTGTACTAATATAGTAACAATAACTGCCTATGGAATCTCACTCCGAAGCTTTGCGACTACATCTGGAGTTCTGCAAAGTTCTCATTGCGGCTTATGTAAAAAAGATATGTAAACACCTAAAAAAGACTATAAACAAATATTACATATATATATATATAACTATATTTATTTATGTGTTTGTTTATTTGTTAATGCAGTTACATGTATATTGGCGTGCCACTTCGTTTGCTTCGGGCAAAAAATTTGGGACTCGGTCAAGTAACTAACGGCTACTAGGGTCGATGGGCTATGACTTAAGGTTCAGGGTTCGAGGATTCGGGCGCGGGACTTTGAAAGTCTTGGACCTGTGTTGCCGTGAAAGCCCTTCCGGATGCAGGGGTTTCTATTAAGCTCGAAATCGTCGACACTCTCAACACCAAGACCGAAGCCAAAACCGGCCTAAGCCCTCAAACCACAAACCCCTAAACCCTAAACCCTAAACCCTAAATCCTAAACCCTAAACCCTAAACCCTAAACCCTAAACCCTAAACCCTAAACCCTAAATCCTAAACCCTAAACCACCCTGAATCCTCCCACCTTGAAACCAGGGACCCCAAGAGACACCGCCGGGCCTTGGATCCTCTGGTGCGAGCTGTGCGGAAGGGTCCAGAGACCCCTGGCACCAGCGACTTCCGGGTAAGGGTTGTACCTACCCAGAGGCTCTATAGTAGTTCCTTTTTGGGATTACCTTAGAGGGCTCTATATATGAACCCCAAAAAGGAACTATTATGGAGCCTCTGGGTAGACCCTCAAAAGTAGGTAAAATAATGGCCCAAAACCTATCAAAGGCTATTATTCTACATACTTTTGGGGTCCAGGAAAGGGTTTCAGGTTTAGAGCTGAGGGCGAAGGCAGACAAGGAACGAAACTATCTAAATATTTAGCCACGGAGTAGTAGACTGTCTGCTTCGAAAAGTGCAGTAGCATCATGCATAACCGAGACCCTCAAACCTGAAACCTCAACTCCCAACCCAAAGCCCTCAAACACGATCGGATTTTGGGTTTGGCCCTTAGGGCCTTAGGGCCTTAGGGGGCATCCGCCCTCTGTCCGGATCCTGCCTCTTCACTCGCAGTTGCGGGGGCGGCTTCGGATCCTGTGTGAGGAAGCGAGAAACACAAAAGAAACATCAGAAAAAGAGCAACACCCTGCGGAAAAAAAAACATGATCCAGAGAATCGCCCTGCTACTGTAAAGGGCGGAGGTGTGCTTAAACATATATTCAATGTGGCTTTCCGGCCCCTAGCGGGTAAGCTTCAGCCTTTAGGCCCAAACCCGACCCAAAGCCTGATGAAGCACAACACCGGTCACCTGCCCCCCATCAGTAAGCAAGAGCCTGGCAGGTAATCTCCCTGAATCCAGAATGCTCTTGCGCAGACTCCCTGTGTCCTGGGTCGCATTGGTCCCTGGCAGGTTCCTGGTCTCTCGACAGGGTTTGTATATTGTTAGTACTAGTACAACTATAAGTATTAGTATGAATATTTATATTTGTATCAGTGTTTGTGTATGTTTGTATGCACGAACACCTTAAGCCCTAAGCGCAGCTGTGGGAACTACCGGAACTTACCAAGCCTGAAGATATACGCAAGTAGGGTTAAGACGTACGCTTGCAGGAGTTTAGACTATAGCTGTATAGGTAAAGCGCCAATGGATAACTAAGTTATAACCTGCTGCGTCAACAGCCCGGTCTGAAATCACAGGAGCTGTTGGTAAGCTTGAGGCTGACAGTTTTGGAGGTCAAGCTTATGTGCCAAGATCATGTCGAGTTGTTGGAGCACCACTTATGCACTGAACTCCTGTGTGACGTAAATTTCGGTGAACGGTTTACGGTTTAGAGCCGAAGATTAGGGTTTAGGGCCAAAGTTTAGAGGTTAGGGCTAAGCCTCATGCATATGTAGATACCGTTCTTCCTGTAACGGAGCAGTCCAGGCCTCACCGGCCTCCAAAGGGCGCTCCTGCGTGCACTCGATGGCTTCATGTATCACACATAAGTTAAACAGCCTCTCTGCATGCATACGTACATATATATATATATATATATATGTATGTATGTGTCTACATATGTTTTTTCGCAATTATATTGTATAATCACATACACAAACAAACATAAATATGTGTATGTAAACATTGATATATTGAGAGAGATAGATAAGGACATGGGAACATGAAATGTTGCTGCCATGAAGGAACCCATATGCAGCACATCTTGATTTCGAGCAGATGAAAGAAGTAATCGTCGAAACGACAACAGCATTCATATAAGTGCGAAACGATAACAGCATGTCCATGTTGCAAGCGCAGTCTTTTCGACGTGACTCGACGTGGTCCGATCTCGCGGCACCATGTCTTACTGTCATGATCATGAACTCGATGTAAGGAATCAGTGAGCACCCGAAACGATAGTGAGGTCTCACGCGTCGTGATAAAACGGGACTACGCACTCCAAAGCCAGACTCCATGAACCCAGCACTGCAAAATAAAGCCAAAATGGGTCTGTTTGAATCTATTCGATGCGGTACAAGATAGGGACCATAAGGGGTGATTGTCAGTAGTGTTATTGGATAGAACAAGTCGAACCTGAATCTTTGTGCCATTCTTATACTCTCGGCTAACAGCCGGCAAGTTTCCGACCCTTAGCATATTATGACCCCGAAGCCATCTTTTGCTCGAAGTGGTGGCTAGCCGCCAGCAGTGTAAGGCGACCTTAACCTACTTGGAGGGAAGTAGGTTCCTCATAGCATAGACTTCTCAGTGCCCGATTCGTTTGCACAAGCGCCCTGACCCGACTTTGCAGTCCTCGCGTCCTGCTTGGTCTGGCCACCTGCCACGAAGCCCCCAAAACGGGGATCTGGGGTCTAGGACCAGCTCAGGGTACTCCAAAGTCTAGAGGGTCAGAAGCGGCTGGCACCCCGAGCCTCGAATTCTGCGGTGGAAAGTTCAAGGTCGCATCCCATGAGATGGCAAGCGCATGCAAAAGGGAAGGGGCCCTTTAGTTGACCACCCACTCATCAGCTTTATGGGAACATGCATGATCTACAAATGCACCAACCACAGCCAAAGCCCAGGATTCGAAGTGGGAGTCGACTTGTCCTCTTTTTTTAGACCGCCGCTTCCGAGATGACTGAGGTTGAAGCTACCTTCTTACGGGGCATCTTTCCGGCTGCTTCGCAAGATCAGCTTCCAGGAAAAAAACCCGCAGGAATCCGGGAGCTGCTCCAGAGTCGTCCTTCTGCGCAGAGCTGTACCTCTGCAGTCAGCTGAATCGTCAGTCAGCGACTTTTGAAAGAAACATAAAAACAAAACACATGAAAAGTATATATACATATATATATATAATATATACATGTATACAGACAGAAGAAGAAACAACAATTCGGTATATATGTTCCCGGCACCTTGTTCGCCGACCACCCTCGCCCACCTACAGCCCACAACACCCACACGCCCGTGCCTTTGCGGTCTTTGCGTCACGCTCAACCCGGTACCGCCGCACGCCACTGGCGACCATGATGCCGATAATATCCAATGTTGCCAATATTGACCGCAAGCGGCCCACCCACACCACACAACAGCTGGGGAGGAGAGTCCGCCAACCATTATGATACTACTAAGGACCGCAGGCAGACAAAAACCGCGAACGCGAGGAGAGCCTACCAACTCTATGAAAAGCCCCAAGCCCCAAACAGAGGACGGTGGGAAAAGGGAACCGAACCACACCATACCACAGCGGCCGTTGTAGGGAGCGACCACAATTGCAGGAGAGGGCGGCCGAACCGCGGTCATCTCTACATCTGTTTATGTATCTATCGCTCTATCTGCGTATACATACATACGTACATACATACAAAAAATATGTGTAGTTGCAGAGGGAATATTGTGTTGGGTGGTGAGGCAGCTCAAGTTCCAATCAATGCAGGCTGCTTCTCCAAGCCTGCTCCGCAAACCTCCATCACGATGCTTTCAATGATTCGTGCTTTGTCTTTCAGCCTTGGCTGCTGTGCTACTCATGTCATCCAAACAGCCTTGCATTCAAAACCGAGTGTTCATCCTTTCGGACTCTCTCAGAGCATGTAAAGATTACTATGTCTCTCCTTGGCCAGCTGCCGTTGATGCTGGCCCAGGGCACGAACTCTTGCGCCACACCGACCTTCTCATGCATGCATGCGGATTCGGGTTTAATTTAGGGTTGAGAGCTCCGGGTATTGCACATGGTTCAAGCAAACACGAGGAAAGTCAAGCTACAGCATAGCTGTCAAGGATTGTGGCGTGGCCCCAGCCCTCTGGCACGAACAGGATATCTCCACACTCCTGCCAAAGGCAACGAGCTGCGAATTCTGGCAAAGACAGCTCTGAAGATGGTACATTTACTCGATCTTTCTGAGGCTTACGGCTTCGAACCCGAAAACAGGAAAGAAACTGCTTGCTCCTGCACCACTTCGAAGAGCTTGCCCGACTTCCGGAGCTCCTGGTACTCTGCGGTCTGCTCCCAGGTGCCCGCAGGATCCAGGGACCAGGAAGCGGCTTCGGGTGGAATCAGGAACCTGGACTCTTGGAGCACTGAGCAGCCACAGGGCAGCGGCCGTCTTAGACAGCTCAAAACCCTGAACACAAACTTCAATGCAAGCTTCTTAGACCTTATAACAACCATGCTAGTTCCATACTTGCTAGCCGTCACTTGTTAATATCGAAGTTATGAAAGTCTAGCAGTTTATCCGAAGGCGACAGGGGGCCAGCGCTTTCTTCCTGCATAGGAGGCATTCACGGCCGCGTGGTGCGTGTGCATCGGGGCGCCGGCTCCACGGAAGCCGACTCCCAGCTGGGGCACACGCACGTGAGAGCAATGCTTCTCCTGGGCTTCATACTGCTGATGGACAAAATCCTGCATGACCCTAAGGACTCTAAAATATGGGAACTATGGTATATTCCCTGCAATGGGTAATGCAGGTGGTTAGTAGGGAATGGCAGAATGGTAGTAATAGTGAGTGGCTATAATTGTACCCCATTCCTCCATTCCCTACTAACCAAAGGTAAGCATGGGAGGCCTTAAGAAATAGAGAAGGGCTTGGGAATATAAAGCGTGATAGAATTACAGTAACAAGGAGCCCTGAGGAACGAGACTGGTTGTTCAATCAGGCCTCTATAAACATAAAACAAGTAAGTATATACATGTATACATATATATATATATGTATCTGATATATGTATATATGAGATGTTGGGGGATCGTGCGGTTTGGTGCTAGGCTGTGGAAAACACCGATTTCGGGGTAGGATCTGTTCTTCGCGATGTCCCGCTTTGTCCAAGCACGACTCCTTCAAACAGGACCCAAGACAAGTCCCCTTCTTGCTTCTGCACCTACTGTGTCTTGAAGCTTCTATCAGCTCGATGCCTTCCATTGCTTGAGGATGACTTCAGAGCGACGGAGTACGCAACAGGGAGTCCCAGGCATCATGACTGATGACATTTTATTTTGCGAGCTTCCCTCCCAGAAACAGGAACGGTGTTACATACTCCTGGGAATTCAGGTGGAGCGAGATTGATTGACCTGTTTGAGTCTTCTACTTCTCCATTTTGCCAGAAGCGGAGCGTTTGCGGGTGCTTGTTCTGGAACAAAGCACCTGGCGCGTTACAACCCCGCTCTCCCTAGAATTGAAGGAAGCCCAGTCTCCATGAAGCTCTGTCGCAGAGGTGCCGAGGCTTTCACCAGATCCCTCCGGCGACGCAGGACACTCGCATCAAAGACGTACCTCGGCCCACAACTGCAGGATACGAAACCCCACAAGTCCAGCGAGATACACCTATGGCGAAATGGAGGAGTCGGCATCATGATTGCAGAAGGAAACTAAGAAGGTGATGTGGACGACAGCCGTAACCCTGGTGATAAAAGATGATCATGCTGATGTCGGTGGTGGATATGATGGTGCCACGGTGATGATGCCGCAAATTCTCTTGGCAACGCCGACCCCCCAGTGAACCAAAGCACTAAGCCTTAGCACACTATGCTACATTACACTATACGACAGAAAGCATAAGCAAAACTATACACGTACACATAAATACGAGTGCACATACAAACATGCGTACAATACACGTGTCAAAACAATACTAGAGAGAGAGAGAGAGAGAGAGAGAGAGAGAGAGAAGGCATCCCCCGGCAAGGGAATGGGCACCCACGTTGTCTCCGCCCCTGGAGGGGTTAAGACGTAAGTGGGGCGCGGAGCTCCGAAAACGTCATGGCCCCGCGCAAGGCAGGCAGGCAAGCACAGCAAGCATAAGAACAGAATCTGATTGAAGGGAACGAAGAGTTCCCATAACCATATAGAGTGCAAACAAATCCCAACGGAGCCCTGGAGCTTCATCCGGGCATGTTTTCGAGGGACGCGAAGGACCTCCAAAGTTGTGATGACATGGCCAGTGGCCATTCTCCACGCTCTACGCAAATGTATTCCCAAGACAGAAGTGCACCGAAAACAGGGGCGCTTCTGCACTTGCACGTGGCTGATATGCGTCACGGCCACTTCTGTGACCCAGATGCCTCATCTCTCGACGAGAACCCCAACGAAGAACCAAGCCTAGAGCCCAGCAAAAACAGCACCTCGAGCAAGGAGGGTCAAAGGTCTGGTGGGTCATCTGGGTCTGTTATTGCCCGCCCCAGCGCGAGTCAGAACGTGGCAGCGCTGGTTGTGGTGAGGCCAATATCTAACCAGCTCCGCCTTACCCCGAGAAATCGGGGCAAGGAAGTATACTGAAGATTGAAAAATTTAAATAAACCTGTGCCGTGCTGCGAAATACGTAGGCCCCACTGAGTTGTTCAAGGCCCAGTCTACTCACGAGTCTGCACACACGGCGGATCTACACAACTATACGCGGTACCAGATGTCTCAACAATGCAAATTTGCCGACTGCCCACCCAAATAACCAGCAACGAGCAGCAGCACATGTGTGGTACCTGCACCGTTGAAACATCTGGTTCCGTCTAACTGCACTCATGTAAAACACAGCCCCAACCGGACATGCAAGATCGCAATCACGACTACATCTTCAAGAGCCCCGAAGGGCGACGTGAGCATATCATTGAAGGCGACTGCATCAAGCTGCACTATGCTGGAGAGGATGCCCTGATTCCAGTAGCGTTTCTTACACAAAGCGTTTATGCCCACAAGTACACCTCAATCAAGCATTTGCGGTACTCAATCGATCCTCGACAGCTGTGCTCCTTCAGGTCTGCACCGTACTCCAACTCAGAGTAGCTTTCCCACTCCCAGGAGTAGATGATGCCAGGGGTGCATAGGCAATCTTCATTTCTGCGTAACGGCTGAGCTCGGTATAGCAGAGATCCGTTTAGGGGCAATTTCGTTGCCCCACATAAGCTTGAAAAAGAACAATGCGCCTAGGTTGCCTCAAAAGCTGCACAAAGCCCCGAGCTCAAGACCACTGACTATGGTGTTCGGCACCTCCCGTGTAATGGGGTAACGTCGTATACCGAACTACAACAAACAACCGTCCAGTCGAACCAGGACAACTCAAGCAAGAACCAAGAAAAGAAACCCACGTAAGCCAAATGAATAAAACCCCGTCTATACGGGAGTCGATACGCGAGGACATCTCCCCTGCCGCATCAATACTGGCTCAGCGAGCCGGCGGAGCGTAGCCAGGTCTAGAGAGCCTGCGCCGGGTTGGGGTGCGATGCTCCCTATGTCAGCGTGTATGTCAGCGCCACCTTGCTTTTACCGATATATGTTACTGAACTGCGACATCGAGCTCAAATCCTCAGGACTGCACATGTCGTAAGAAGGAATTGTCGGTGCACTGGTTTATGGT